TGTGCTTAGTTCCTTTGTGGTACTCCGTCGCACCACGTGCAGTACTCATTCACATCACCTTTCTAATTAATCACTTAATACAATTATTATTTAAGTGACCTGGGAATCAAATGGAAATTTAACTCTCACATGCCAAATGCACTCCCGAAAATAACTGGGCACACATCAAAATCTGCCCCGCCCCCCAACCTCAGCACGTACTTTGCTCCCTGCAGCTGCCCTGGCACTCGGGGTAGAATTACCCAGGCTGGCTATAAAGGAAGTGGCTTAAATAGCAGCAGCAGCCCAGCCACCACAGCAGGACCGTAGTGGAGGCCAGCTAACGCTGCTTTCCAGGACCACTCACTCACCCTTCGAAGCAAGGCAAGCTCTCCGAGAGGAAAGCCAACGACCGAGTGAAACAGCAGCAGCTGTCTGGGGTGTTGGCTACACTGTGCAGTACAAACAGCAGTTACGCGTGGAGGTGAAAAATAAACTTAACTAAAACAGCAGGTTGTGGCCCACCTTGTTGTCCTATCACCGCATTACCTGCCCACCACTGGCATGTAATTAGTTTTGAACTCTAGAATATATCAAACACAACTCCCCGCTGATAACACTTGTACCTCCCCTTGGTGCTGCTCAGGAGGACATCAGCATATGAGAGTTAAATTCTCCCCCTTCCAGTAATTCCTGTCAGCTTCATTATTATAGAAAACTCAAGTCCCAGGAAAAATGTTCTTCTGAAGCTGTTAGCAACAGACATACCACTAGTTTTAGCCAAGATCCTACAGAAATAGTAAAACCAGAATGGTTGATACCATACCCAAAATGTAACCCCATCAGTTTGAAGTAGATCTTGGAGAAGGAGCTTTAACAGTTCCCAGCCTGAAGATGACTTAATGGTCCAGCGATCCGCACTGCGCCGAGCACGGCACTGCCTGCTCAGCACCAAGGACACGCTTTTGCCCGCAGCAGAATGGATCTGGTTTGGCCATTGAAAACTCAAACAAACCACCACACACACGGAAAACCCCTAGCCAAAAACACCCAACCCCCCACATACTCATCTGTGAGTAACCTGGGTAATCTTGTTCCAACCAAAGGCACTGAGGCCAACTGAGATTACTAATTACCTTACTTAAAATCTGAAGCAGAGAGGAGGTTCTGTAACGAACTGCGTGTGCACTGCGTAGGCATGCGGATTGCTAGGTCGGAAAAATTAATTAGTATGCCTTTGAAGGCACGTGCTTTCAAAAGCTCTAGGTAAAACCATTTTAACTGTGTTGCATGACTTAGCTATATTTAAGCATCTATACAGCGTTTTAGAGAAACCAGTAATTTTGAGGGCTTTTTAAAGGGGAATAAAGAATTTCAGAAGCAATACAAAGTGTTGTACTATTTTGCCAGTATGAAATAAAGAAACCTGCCCCTGGGAATCTCGTTAAAGAAGTAACACTGAGAAGTCAACCTTGCTATCAGCCACAGGCACCAATTCTCAGCCAGTGCTGGTGTCAGAGATTCAGCGAGTGAGGAGGGAGACTGGTTCTCTCACGTTGCACAATTTATCTTTATTACCTGTCCCTCCTCCCCTGTTACCAGACCTACTTCTTGCCCACTGAAAAGAGAAGGGAACAGACCGGTTTTGAAGTTCTGACAAGGAGGTGGCAGGAGGAGAATAATGATGTAGCTGGGGTGGACTTCTCCGGTCAGCAAACAGGAGGGGGCAGTTCAAAAAACATAAAGGTCTTGTGAATGAGCAAAGGAACAGTCGGGAAGGATGGGAAGCAAACAATTCTTCTGTAAGGGAGGAGGGTTTTTTCTGAATTTGGTAGGGAGAAACAAAGAAAGGTCATGGGCTTGAGGCTAGATGTACTAAACCATCAGTCGAACACTTGTTTTATTGAAAGCTTGTTGCTTTTCCCTACGTTTCTAATACTACAGTAACAATTTATAATGCCCCATCAGTCATCATATGTGTCTTGGTGATCACGAACACTAGTTTTATTGAAAGCTTGTTGCTTTTCCCTACGTTTCTAATACTACAGTAACAATTTATAATGCCTACGGTGCTTCTACAAACAGAAAAATAAACAGCAGACCTAAGAAACTCTGCTGGCTGTTCATTCAAAAGGCTACAAGAAACTTCCAGAGCCCCCTCAGCAACTGATGGTGACTGACACCGAAGGACGCCAGCGGACTGAAACACTGCACAGCCAAAAATTGCTTTTCTGCAGCAGCAGTAACATTTAACCGCTACTTAGGAGCATCTTCACTGCCACCACATGTTAGTCCAGTTGTCTGAGGAGATGAGCCTTTTGTGTTCCCGTTCTACACGATTTCTCTGCTCTGACAGAATAACTCCCACCCTGAATCACTGGGATAAACACCAGGTATTTTCCAGGTAAGCAGAGACTCAAAGTATGATATTACAATAGGAATGCTGACAACTCACATGGCACTGTAGTTCCAAACCTAGTAGGATTCAGTACTATAAACCTGTTCTTCAAACTTCTTCGCCCCACTCCTTGGGCCCCAATTAAGACCAGTGTTTTCCTCTGAAAGGGAGGCATTTTGGCTACTTCCTCATAGATCTGGATTTCATGACGATCGAATTCTACAGTGAGAAGTGCACAAAAAGCAGTTAATACACTGTCAGTACTGCAAGAAAAACAACCTAAGCAGTCCTGCTCTATATCAACACACCACAGGTGAAGATAAATAGCACTCAAAGGGCATTCAGCCGGATACAAGCCTTCTGGTTTTAAACAGGTGTGGGAGAAAAATAGTTACCCCTTCATGGACAGCATCAGGACAGATACTACCTTTACTTCCAATGAGGAAATTTGAGATAGATCAGGATGGGAAAACTGTGATCAACAATCTGTGAGTTTTCACAGAATCCCAGAATGGTTGAGGTTGGAAGGTGCCTCTGGAGGGCATCTGGTCCAACTCCTGCTCAGCCACGGTCACCTGGAGATGGCTGCCCAGAACCAGATGGCTGTTGACTATGTCCAAGGAGGGAGACTCCAACCTCTCTGGGCAAACTGAGCCGGTGCTCAGCCACCCTCACAGTGAAAAAAAGCGTTTCCTCATATTCAGAAGGAACCTCCTGTGTTGTTGCTTGTGGCCTGTCACTGGACTCCTCCGGAAAGAGCCTGGCTCTGTCCTCTTTGCACCCTCCCTTCGGGTATTTATACAGGTTGATGAGATTCCCCTCAAGCCTTCTCTTCTCCAGGCTCGACAGTCCCAGCTCCCTCAGCCTCCCCTCACAGGAGAGATGTTCCAGTCCCTGCATCACCCTCACACCTCCGTAACCCTTATAGGGAGAGGAGCCCAGCACACTCCAGGCATGGCATCACCAGCGTTGAGCAGAGGGGAAGGATCACACCCCTCAACCTGCTGGCAACAAAGCTTCCGCTTTCCTCTCTTTTAACGCAAGGCTCTTCTCCGACTTCCACCTACCGACGTAGGTGCGCATCACCACCGTATCTTCACCGGTCGCTATCACTTTTAAACCACAAAAACTATCTCACCCATCAAATTTATAATCAAATCTGTTACTGCAGATCTTTCAGCTTTGGATACACTAGGCTCTGCAAGTTTAGAAGAACCTGGACTCATATGCAATACCAAGAGGTACCTGCATTTCTTGTAGTGAGATACATCATCTTTTTCTTTTTTTTGCTGCTTATTGTTCCACAGAAAGGCCCTAGAAATAAAAATTGAGACAAACTCATCACTTTTGTTAAATATGTTCTTAGAAAGCTTTTTGCATGAACACATGCAAGTTTAGATTAATTACATTTACAAGGACTATTTTAGAATTTTTTATATACTACGACAGGAGATCACATCTATTTTCATCACATCAAACAGTGCAGTAAGAACAGAACACAGAGAAAAAATTAATTTTCCTAGAAAGCTTCGTATAAAGCAGCAGAAAAATCCATCAAACATGTATTAACTTTCGGTGTATACTATAAAAACATAATTAAAAAAGCGGTAATTCTTAGGCCTTTCCCACCCCATTAAGCTATTCATCAGCAGGTGACAAAAGCGATGCAGGTGCCTATGAAGGCTAAGCACAGAATTCAGCTTTTGTCCTTCAGTCAAAGCCAAAATAGAATAATCAGCATTTTGCAATATTCTCTATTCTCACACGGCAGTTTTCTAGGATCTATGAAGGCAGGAAAAGCAAAACAAATGGAGTCACAGCAACTTCTATTCCTGAAATTCATTAAAACTCACCTGAGTTGTCCCAGTCCCTCCTAACAAAAGCCTTTCTCTTCTCTTCCAGGAACTGGCTAGGAATAAGCCCTGCACTTCCTCCTTCTTTGACATGACTTGCCTGGGAAAGTGACAAACAAAACCATCGGTAACTTGTGGGAAGCATTTTCCTCACTGACACCGTGTCGGCTGACTTCCACACTGCCGGAGTTGCTCAGTGGTGAGCACTGCTACATTTACTACCGAGACCTGGTAATTCAAACTCAAACGTGGATACTAACATGGTGTCTTACAGAAACAGTGTCTTGCCATCGAGTATCAAAACTCAGGAAACTTAAATAGAACCGATGGGAGTGTCATTACTGGTTCCTATTAAGTTAGTAAGTTCCTATAGCCATAGGCTTTTGGCATCAAAATCCTAAATGGAATTCTATGGCTCCAGACACTGAACTCTGAAGTGACAAAACTCAAGACTTTAAGTGTAGTATTCTTGAGCTGCTCCAAACAGGTTCCAGTGCAGCTTCTGAACCGTCATTTCACAGCACACACCATTAACACACGCCTCATCATAGCTTCCAGCTTTTCACGTTAAGTAACTACAGACTGAAAATCTTAGTAGCTGAAGTATTCCCGCTCATACAAGTTTGGCTAAGACCGCCTATAAAATAACTTCATAGCAGGCTGAATTCTCAGCAAGCTTAACACACACAAACACACAGTTACGAAATGTTACACTTTTCTTCTCCATAACTGCTTGGCCTGTCTCAGCTCTCCAACTGGTATGCTTTTACCTGTGACTAACTGATTTTTTTTTACAGTTAGTCAGTCTTCAGTAACAGTTCAGCCTTTCTAGAAAGCACAAGGAAAACCCCCTTTTTTCCCAGTGGCATGATCTGCAGAGCAAAACGTGCAACACAGTCTGCTGGTTTAACGCATTTCATTTTTGCCACTGACGGAGCATTTAAGATTTATTTCTCTTGGACTCCCCAAGTTACAAGCTGAAGAATTGGAAGAGCAATACAGAAAGCAGCATGTAACCTAAATGTCAAGCTACTCGGGAGTTTTGGAGTGCCTAACTTCTGAAACTAATTAACTTGGCAGTAATAAATTTTCTGCCTTCGCTCACACTTTTTATTCTCTTTCTTGCTGTTAGTACTGTCACTGACAAACAACAGAATTCAGCAACAGTTGTTGATGTATATTCAAATACTTTTGTTGCTTTTAAGTCAGTCATATATATATACACTGCTCTCAAGTAACGTTTGGCGCACTACTGCTTGTTATCAGCAAAGGGTGAGCAATTTAGGAGTGGAAAGGGAAATTAATAATGCTCAACACTTTGCCTAGATTGCTACTGCCACTTGCAATTTTGAGTATCTCGGCTGAGAAAAGTGTCTTAAGGGTTCACTCATCCCACTTTCAAAGGCACTGAGGATGATTAACTGTCTTAAAAAAATAAAAGCAGCGCAAGCGCTGGATTACATCTCTACTGAAGGACTGAATGTAGAAATACAACCTTAAAGCAGGATGAATTGAGATAGTGCCAAACGCCTTATGAACATTCATTCTATTTTCTCTAGTATTTATTAATATGGTTAATATCTTGGTATTAGCTTGAAATTGGATTGCAGCAGAAATACTTGTTCTTATATCTACTGTTAAATGGAAGCAGACCATAATTTACAGAGTTTATTATTAAGGCAACTGGTGAAGCTTTTTGCATTTTGATTTTTTTTTTTAACCTTTTTACCAACCTGCCACCAATTTGGATCCTCTCGGTTTACAATCTGAAGAATTTCTCCTTTAGAAAATTTCAAACCTGCTTCTTTGCACGGGATGAGGTTGTCGTTATATGGATTATAATCAAAATGACACTTCACAAAAACCTGAAACGTGTAAAGATTTACAAAGTTTAAACATTATAAAATGCATTGGTACTAATTTATCTGTCAAACTGAATGTCTCTACCTACAGCATAAAACATCTGACAAGTTGCATTTGGCGAGTAAAATACAATCCATGGAAAAACTGCCATACACCAGCTGAGAGAGTGGAAATACTCAGCAGTGTAAACCTTGGCTGAAGGACCTTCACCATAAAAAGCCAACTGTCCTACAAAACACCCATTTTTGTATTTCAGTACAGACCACTCAATTAGCAGTCTGACTTCAAATGACTTAAAAATCTGAACATTCTCAGACTGTGAGCACTGAATTCAAGGCTTGTGGAACCTTAAGAACTAATTTTGCCATGAACTCAGTGTTTTAAGACAAACCAGACTGCTTAAAACTCAAATTTGATGCAGGAAATGAACCAGTAAGTTGCATGAGTAGTCTGGAAACATCTTTAAAGTTTTCCTACCAGGCTGGGGAGCAAAGGAAGCAGTCAGTGCACCTGCCTCAAACACAGCACGTTCCCTCAGCATCTACTCAGTGTAAGCACAGTCCATGACAGTCACGAGCACTAAGACCCACTACCTGAAGGAGTGTCTTAGGAGACGTTTCAAATGCACTGATTTCGCGCAACACGTTACCTCTGCAGCGGAGAAATCGACTGCCCACAGCAACAACAAATGGATAAGGGATAGCCACCACCCATCCATGTTCCTACTTAAGTCAGCGAGTCCAAACTCCTCTGCTGAATTCCACACGGGCACTGAGTGTGTTACAACCACACGCAGCTCACTGCAGCTCAGCGTGATCATCTCTAGGTCATCAGAGGTCACCGGATGTCAAAGAATCATGCTCGGAAGTATACAAACACTTACCAATCTTAGATACTAGTTACAGTTTTTTAAGCAGGCATATTAGGCGTGGTGTTAATCTACTAAATAAACCCATTTCCAGAATGTACTTAAAAGGTGAATACAGGTATCTATTTCAGCCTTGCTGCTAGCATTAAACACACAAAATAATCAACATCTGTCTAATCCAAAAGCTTAAAATAACGCATTATGTTAAATTACCAGGCAGAAGTTCATTGGACAGAATTGTTAGAAATCTGCTACTGACCTGTTGAGGAATAACAGTGTCTCTGTAGCTGGGGAGAATCTTCAGAGTGACACTGCCACTGATATTTTTCAGCAGTTCCTGCAATTCTTTTGGATTGTTTCCAACCTCGTGGCCATTCACCTCTTTTATAATGTCACCTACATGCAGAAGACCTTGTCGATCTATCATTCCGCCATGAAGAATTCGTGCTATTACCAGATCATTGTTCTCAACTCTAAAGGTAACACCCTGAAAGAGGCATGTGACACACCTAGTTTACCACTGCTGGAATTTCAATTTCGTTTTACCATTATCTCAAGCAAAAATATACAGCTATGGGATATTCCATCTCCCCCAATGAAAAGAGACAGTAATAGTTACTACAGTGTAAGAGTTCCTACTTCACAGGTAAGAGTCAGGCGACACGGAATTTTTTCAGACAAGGGTTTCATACGACTGAATGATGACTGTATTGTTACTTGACTGCATTCAATCCTGTCAGCTTGTACCAGGACCAAACAGACGTTGTGTTAGTCACTTATGCCAGCAAGTCATTCAGCTTAGCAACTGCCTATTCACTACCCCATGATTTCCTAAAGAGAACAGGATGGGGAACACACAAATATCTTCTTATTTCAACCTCTCAATGCTGATCCTATCACCCATTAAATTACACAATATAATAACGGAATTAATTAAAACATAATGCCAGAAATCAGGCAAACGTTCTCACTCGCACTTTAAATTGAAGAAACACTCATCTGCAATTACTTACCAGTGGCTCTCCTGCTCTTTTGTGAATTCCAAGGATACGAATAGCATCTACTGGAACAATCTGGTTGTTCACTGAAGAATTATTGACTTCTGGGCTAGAAGGAGGGGAATCATAACATTTTGAAGCCACAATATCATGTGCTTCCAAGAGTGACTGCAAAGGAACAGAAAAAGCCTTTTTTTAAAATCATGAAATAACCATTTGCAAAAGGATTTAGTGCTGAATGACCACTGAACCTGCCCTTTCGGGACCAGATCATAAAACTCTTACTTCATGTGGAATGGAGCAAAAATTGACATACAAGTACTGACAAGCCTGAGAAGCCTACTGTCGTGGCAAATAGGCTCTCTTTTGTAAATACAAAAGCTGCTTCTTAAGGAAGTGTTGGAGAAATTTAATGGATTTGGGAGGGATGTGTGATCTTGAAGAAGATGGAAAATGGAGTACCTAAAATAGTCTTTCACCTAATGAGACAGTATCTGAGCAAACGGTTAATGTAAATGAACTACCCACTGCAAAAAATGAAGATAACTCATCATTAGATACACGTGTTTAATGTAATAAAAATTTCCACCATGGTAATTTGGTTAATTACAAGTATTCAAGGTTTTCTAGCAATCTGCAGAATGAGTGCCTTCTGCTTGCATAAAGCCAAGGCAGAATTCTAGCACCAAATGAGTCCAAGTTGACAGAATTCACTTCTGGAAGACGAGAGCTCAGACCTTATAATTAATGGTGTTTTCACCAGTCCACATACCTAAATAGAGAGCAAAAGGTGGAGATCCAAATAAATATAATCATATTTGGAAGACATGGCAATTTAGACTTGATTTTCTTGTAAAAGATACTTTAAGATTTAAGGAAAAGATTTATAAGACAATACATACTGTTAAAACAAGATCAAACTTGTGGAATTAGACAGTGGAGACTTTCTGTCTCGAAGAGGAAAAGGGTCACCCTCTAGCCACCACATGTGGTAGTTCTGTAAGCCAGCTCTAAGCTAACGGTTGTGCAGCCATACGAGTTTAGTGCTAAACTCAACGTGCAAGGCACCAAAGTGTCACAAGGCTGAACAGTCATTTTAATCTGCTCACTAGACTGTGACCCTGCTGACACTTCACCTTGATGTTAGAAGGAGGTACTAATCACTGGTCTGCCCCTGCCATTAAGACTGCAAAGACAGCTGCGTATTGCGGCTGCTCTGATACGGTGGACAGAAACCAAATCAAATTAAATAGGAAAAACAATCATTTATTGAAACCAAACAGCTGTCAGATGGTAGCAATTTCTAATTCTTCATTACCCGAGACACATCCAATCCAGAAGCCAGGAGAACAGATCTCTGTTTGCCAATGTTTGCAAGCAACATTTCCGGATCTCTCTACATTTCCAAAATGAAACCAACTAGCATCAACTACATGTTTTAGACATTACGGCTAACAAAACTAGGTAGATATGTCAGTATGATACTTTCAATTTTCTCTTACATTCACATGCTACAACAAAGTGTTCTCAAACTTTCTGGCCACAAACCACTAGATTCCTCATGGATTCTTATGCATAAACATGCTTGTACAGCTCCCTGCCCTGAACGGTCATATAATTTATGAATCCACAGTCAAAAAAGACTACTAAGCTAACAGTCTGTGTCACCCTTTTCAAAATAACATGGCTCTAATATTCTTAATTTCTTAAATCTGACCCCACTCCACATTCTTATCCTATTTATTCACTCAGTTTTATGGATAAGCATTAAATCTTTCAACTACCGCTTAACCATCTTTCAATCACAGTATCTTTTTCCTGCTATTTACATGATGGCTGTCACAGAAGGGCCATCAAGGACAGTACATTGCTGCCCACAGTTAAAAAATTAGTTTCTCTAAGTTTACTGGTTTCCTTAAACTAACCCATAGTTAACTTATTACCTTCCCATACCTAACTCTGTTCTGAAACTCAGGAATATGCACCAATTTATGAGACTGCTTCCAGCCAGCCAGCCAGGTGACGGCATACCGTCCTGAAGAGCACTCAAACGAAGCCACCTGGCAACAGGGGCTGTGTGTCTGTTTCCACTGTTGGGCTACTCTCCAATATTTTATTGGAAAAAGTGATATCCTGTGCTCCTGCAACTCCAGAGCTCCCCTGGAATCTGACCTTTCCCGTACTGGTACTAGAACACTTAAAAAACCACTTCCAAAGTCCACAAAACAATAATTAACAACCATAAAACAGTGCACATTTTTCTCCATACGATGTATGTAAACAGGATCAGCTGACTATCCAAGACTGGATAACTGTAGGAAGGTTCTCATGGAAACAATGGCAATGTTGCTGGAATAAGGCATTTAGAAGAACTCTGCGTATCACAAGAGATCTCGCACAACAGACGTACAGTCCTGTGGCAGACAGCATGGCCCCTCTGGGCAAGAGACTGTCACGAAGGAATCCATAACCTGAGAACATACTGACTTCTTTACCGTAGTTTTCTGTGGCTGTGCTTAGTTGACTGGTTAAATAGATAAATAAAAAGCAATTCAGAATGCAGTAGACAAAGAAACATTACACATCCAAGGCTCTCTGCAGTGCTGACGCCAAGTTCACATTCAAAATGTGGTTTTCCTACAGAAGTTCTCAGCAGAACCTATGCAAGTTCTGAAGTATTGCCTGCCCTGCATGGTAACTAGTGCCCAACTGTAACCCAAGAGAACAATTAAATTACAAACTGTGGGCTGGGGGTATACACAAGAATAGAACAACTCTACGGACTTGAATTCAGGACTCCTTTCCTAAAACTTCAAGCCTCAGAAGTCCTTAAAACATTGCCATTCCTCTTCTATACACTAAGTATGTGCTAGACCTCTCTGATAACACTGTTTGAAAATTAGAACTTAAGACATGGGCTACAGGCCCCTAGTTCACATGTGGAAAGACGACATTTTTAAAAGCTGTTCTGGAAAAGTGAGGAAATCATTTAAGAACTTGGAGAAATCAGGGCAGGCTGGTAAGGAGGCATGAATATGTGGGAAAAATAACCCTACACAGTAGTTCTGGCTAGGAGGCAACTTAAGATCACTTTCCTAAATTAAACATTTCAAAAGTATGATTAGCCATTAAAGCTAACTATTAGAAGAAAAATATTGGCTGCTTTTCAGATTTTATTGCCAGCAGAATCTACTATTTTGGATGAACAGCTTGCACAATTTCTTGGAAAGGTGGAAATAACTGAACAACTCCTTCCATAAGCAGCAGGAGTGATTCTTCTGCATGTTTAACCACTCCAGCGGTGCAATACTTTCAACTCCTCTCTCTCCTCTCAAGGCAACCTCTCTTAACCACTCCTCTCCTGCTCTCCAGCTACTGCCTGGCAAGACTTGCTATAGGCATTTCTATGCACTGCACGTGCCAGCTGGCTCTTCAGCACACACTGCCCTGATGGCCAGCCATCAATACTGTGAAACTCCTAAGAACTTCCTATCTTCCACACTTTGAACCTTGAAAAGTTTAGTTAAAAGTAAAAGGGGTAAAAAATGGAAGGGAAGAAAAAGAAAGGAATGAAAGGAGAAGAGAGAAAAGGGTGGGAACAGACAGTCAAACATAACAATATAACCCTACACGCACCCGTACTCTGTAAGCCAGTCCCTCCCCCATGTGTCTTCTCTAAAGTGTGTAAAAGTAATGAAGGTCTGTAATTCGACATTTGCAGCACTAAATGACACATTCAAATAAGCTATTGCACTGATGACTTGTATACCGCACGTGAGGTAGGTGACAACTGTAAGATGACATGGATAAAGTGGCACCATTCAGTTGTAAAATACAGAATCAGCCTCTAAAACAGTTACACAATCATGCCATGAAACTTTAAAAGAGTCAAGTCAAGGTGGTTTGTTTACCCATGTACTGAACTGGAGAAAGGATGCAAATTACATTTTCTATAATTACAAATGACACATTTTTCTTATCTTCTTTACAGGTCCCTTCTTGCAGAATTTGGAATATGCTTCCTTGCACCAAATGAGGCAGAAAGGATAGCACTTGTTTCTTGAGTATCTAGTTAGTTTTCTGTGTCCTTTTCAGAGTGCAACAAGTATGTTCCCCAAGCCTTAGAAAGAATATTGCATCCACAGTTTGGTCTCCAAATTTTCCTAGAGGCTCTTCCCAGGTGGTCATAACTCCAATAACAGTTAAATAAAAACACTTAATCAAAATAATACGAATTTGGCCTCAGTTGTCTTTGTTGCCTGCCTCCAGATGGGGAACAGAAGCACAAAATTAAGGTCTGAAAAGTACACCCTAAGTTTAGTCTTCCAAACTGAATCACACCAGATCTACTTTTAAAAAGTAAGTCACTAGCTGCTTTTAGCCTGTATGCAGCAGCCAAAACTGCTGTTTCTGCAAATGAGACTGAAGGCCTCACAACAGGCACTTAGGAGAAAAAAAAAGCTAAAGCTACTTCAGACTTTGGTTCTTTTAAATGAACTCTAGTTGTAACAGAGCGAAGGATAAGGTAGTTTCCCAGGGCAGCATTTAACTATCATAACTATCAAATAGCTTTTTTCTCTTCCTTTTGTACCCAATTCTTCCTGCGCCATCCAGGTTTTGCAGGAAAGGAAGTAGGGAGCTCTAGAAATAGCTTATTTCTGTTACATACCCATGACTCACTGAACTGTATAGTGAAAGCAGCAGCATGCAATCTTCTTCACTGCATGCAATAATCATGACATGAATTTTTAAACTGGGTTGCACGGAAGAATCAACAAACTGCGAAGCAGAAGTCTGATGTTGACACTAAACAAATTAGAGGTTGTTTCCATAAAAACCAGAACGATCGGACGAAATAGATTATGGGAAAGCATCAACATGCTTTAATAAGGGGAAGTCATGCTTCTCAAATCTAGTGAAGTTCCCCGAAAGACTCACCAAGCACAGCAGTGAGGCAGCTGCAGCTCCTAACACAGATCAATCTCCAAAATGCCTTAGACAGATTCCTTTTATCAGTCTTTTAAAGAAACAAAGCTACTATAGGATAAGCAGTAAGCCAAGTGGATGAAAATACTGGTTAAAAGACAGAAATATTGGGCCAGGAGTATAGTATTACTAGTTTTCACAATTCAGCTGCCACAGGACTCTGGGCTCAGTCCTACACCTGCCAGTACACTGGCACATCAGGTAAGCGATCTAGGAAATGGGGGTTTGCTGATGCTGCTGAACTATTCCAGGAGCAAAACAAGTGATTGTAACCTGCAGGAGCACCTCATGAGCAACAGAGTGAGAACAAGGCAAATGACATTCAACTCAGACTGCAAGGGAAAGCACAGTCCTAATGTAACAGGAGCTGACAGGCTCAGAAGTGGTATCTCAGAGGTGTAAACAGTACAAAACCAAACCAACCAACCAATCCACCTCTGTTTACTAAGCCTAGAAGTACCGGTTCTTTACTGAGAGGGCGATCAAACACTGGAACAAGCTTCCTAGAGAGGTGGTTGATGCCCAAAGCCCATCAGCATTTAACAGGCATTTGGACAACACCCTTAATAATACGCTTTAATTTTTGGTCAGCCCTGAAATGGTCAGGCAACTGGGACTAGATGATTGTTGTAGGTCCCTTTCCACTGAACTATTCTATTCTAGATCCAGAGATCATTGCCGCAGTGCCTTTCAAAGGTCAGTCTACTACAGCACTTCACTTTTCATCTTTCGATTCATCCCCTTCAGTCTGTCAGCTTTAGTTTCTCTATCTAACACAATGGTTCTTCGTCACGTCTGTCACTCCACCATTTGGCCCCCAGTTCCAATCGTTTTGCACTGTAACTACCAATTCCTCCAAACTCACTTTCTCCTCTTCCAGCACCAAGTTCTGCTACGGGATCAAGGACTGATCTGCAGGTTTATTCACCTGTAAGTCTCCAAACAACAGTTTTTGATCCCTTAGCTATGATGCCCTTCTGGGCAAGTAAGAGCACAAGGGAGGCAGAGGCACTGTCAGCACACAGAATAGCAACTCCCTCAAAAGCTGAGCTCTTAGAGCGATCCCTCTTCCAACAGGCCACACCACAGCTTGACAGCATTTCCAGTGTTTATCTGTGTTAAAGGGTAATGCACCTCACTGCTATGTTTGTATAATGTGTAGCTGAAAATTTAGAAAACAAAACGTGCGTTTAAACTCATATACCCAAAAAATGCATATGACTCTACACCTGTCTGCCAAAAGAAGCACATCAATAGTGTGGCAAAAGGTTTGCTTGTGTTCCACAGGATACCTATACCTAAGTACTAAAGTCAGCTGATGCCTGCCTGGAAAGTCCCGAATCTACCACGGTTTTACAAACCCTAATCTCCAAGGGCCAGTATGGAAGCTGGTAATAGAATGGCAGCTATGGAAAAACATCTGCTTTGGACAAGCGTATCTCAAAACTTTACTTATGTGACGTGCATCAAGAGGGAGAGGGATGCAGTCTCAACTTGGGCTGCAGTGCAGATCGCATCACAGAAGAATCACATTCATTCCCTTGGCAAACTGTACCTCTTACACATAAGTATGAATGCCAACAGCTGAAGCAAAATGCAGAATGGTCAGTATCAAGAACTGAGACCAACTGGAAATGCTAAGGATGAAGCCTTCAGGGAAGTGCTATGGAAACTCCAGTCATACAGGAAGTAAAATTTATCCAAGAATTATAACAGAAATTCCAGTGGATTTCACTACAATGAATGAAGATATTCTTGAGGTGATATCAAAGAAAATTGTGCTCATTCTTAACCCAACATGGCTTCTGCTTTACCTTTCATTCAGAGTAAAATCCTATATATTAAAATTTGATACAGTTCAGGTTTTGTTTCATTCTTATTCCTTCATTCTTATTCCTAGATCCGTATGTGGACACTGATAAGGTAAGTTAGTAATGTACAGTAAAAAGATGGCACCTGAAAATGAGGCTCCTTGAGTATTCCAACCAACTCTGCAATATTTTCATCTTTGTTTACTAAGGGACTGATGTCTTCAAGAATTTCATTCACCAACTCCAGGTTGTTGTCACTGACAGCCTCAAGTTTAGAATCTTCCAGTCGCTCATGAGCCTGTAAGATTAAATATATGAGATTATACTGTTAATAAGTCTGAAGTAGTTTCAATTTATAGACCTCTCAAATAATTTCTTGGTGCAACCTTTAGCAGGAAAGCCGGGAAAAAATAAAAGTCACATATAGTATAATCTGTATATTTTATCTTTATAGCTGCCGAAGGATTTTGCATGCTTAACTGCGTGACCCAACCAGGTTTATAAGCAGCACCTGTCAAATGCTTGTGTGTCCCTGTTTCCTGTAACCTCTAAGCTATATACACCCAACAGTTGTCTCTGAACCCAGGCCCCTCCCATTCAAACACCCTCAAAATTCTCACAGAAAGTCTGCACAACTAAAGGAAATGCTAAAGAAAAGTCTGTGCAAAGCTGGCTAACAGTAGCAGGGGCTGCATTACGAAGAGTGTTGCCACAACGTTGAGCTCTACTCAGCACTGATGAGGCCACACCTGGAGTACTGCGTACAGTCCTGGACATACTGGAGAGACTCCAGTGAAGGGCCACAAAGATGATGAAGGGACTGGAGCACTGAGAGATGGGACTACTGAGCCTGGAGAAGAGGCTTAGGGGAGGTATCAGTCGGTGTAAATACCTGAAGGGAGGAGAGGAAGGAGGACAGAGGACAGAACCAGGCTCTTTCCAGTGATGCCCAGTGACAGCACAGGAGGCAATGGGCACAAAGTGAAACACAGGAAGCTCTGTGGAAACAGTTTTTCCACTGTGAGGGTGACTGAGCACTGGCACAGTTTGCCCAGAGAGGTTGGAGTCTCAACCTCTTCAACAGCCATCTGGATGTGGTCCTGCGCAGCCATCTCCAGGTGACCGTGGCTGAGCAGGAGTTGGACCAGATGCCCTCCAGAGGCACCTTCCAACCTCAACCATTCGCTGATTGTGTGATAACTTTTCATCCCTTTCAGAGCTATTGCCGTAGACATAATCCTTTCCTAAACACTGCAGATACTTAAATTCATTGGAAGGTAGGAGCTTTCAGCTGCAAGAGAAACATCTCTCAAATCCAAAGGCTTCACTTATTTATTACAGGTAGTGCTGTATCACAAATTTAGGGGTAAGAGGAGGCCAAAAATAACTAAGATTCTCAATGCATTCAATTAAGAGTTATTTACAACACCATAGCAACAAGAAGTTCAAAAAAGAATGATTGCTTTGGCATGTAAAAACACAACAAATAAGAGATATATTTGGGAGTCATCTACATATACTTCCCACATATTTAATTTGAAGGTATGTGCACACATCTGCTTTCTTATTAGCGCTTTAAAACAGATGTTAAATACAATTTTGCTAAAACCAGAAAACTTTCGTTTCCTGAAATCATCTGACTATTAAATTCTACTTCATGTCTATAAAATGGTATTTCTGCAGGAGTGATGATCAAACACTGGAAAGGCTAACTTAAAATAAAGACATTTCAAACATTCCCCAACACCAACACACACAAACCAAATGACCATGATTACAAAGTCATAGGAAACTTGGCACCTACACACATTCTCCTTAACAAGGAAATGCCATTTTGTACATAAAAATTAAAGTTTACTCCTTTTACAGCAAGTAAAACCACAAATCTATTCACTTTTAAACATTCTCCAACGGCAAACCCTTTATAAGATTAGAGAATAAGGATTACCTTCTTTCACACTCGTTTTCTTTAAAATACTACAACTAACAGAGAGTATAATTTAAATACAAATATCCTCACTCTTCACCCCAAAATCAAGGCCACGTATATACTGGGAATCATAAAGTGTGTAAGTCAACAACCTCTGATTCTGTAATTTACTGAGGGGTTGCAGGATATGCAGTGGTATAAATAAATTTTTTTTTTTTTTTTTAAAGAATAAGCTAAGAAGGAATAAACTAACCAAGACATTGCTTTTATTTTTTTCAGTTCAGTTCATCATTTCAGAAGCAGTGATACTGAATTGGGTCTTTTGATTCATTTAATATTCATTATACCTGACAAATGTTCAAATAGTAAGGCTTTTGCCTCCAACAATCTGACATTCTAAAAACTGGACTCCATGTTTATAGATAATTCCTAAGATGTTTCCTTGGCTTGGGTTAGGCATTCTCCTGATAAGCTGTAGGCTATGCTACAATAGTAAAAGCAACAGTGTGACTGCAGAAAAGAAGATAAAAGTTTTGAGGTTCAAAAGATTAGTTAACAATCCAGGAGAACAGAATTTTGGAAGACAGATCAGTAGCAAAACTGAGTAAAATTCATGCATGTTCCAAATTCAACAACTGTTTTCAAAAAAGCATAACAATTCCAAAGGCCAGAACATACACCTCAGCAATGGAAAGACATGAACCGGTTGGAGCAAGTCCATAGGAGGCCACGCAGATGCTCAGAGGGCTGGAGCACCTCTGCTATGGGGACAGGCTGAGAGAGTTGGGCTTGTTCAGCCTGGAGAAGAGAAGGCTCCGGGGAGACCTTCCAGTACCCGAAGGGGCCTACAGGGAAGCTGGTGAGAAACATTTTACCAGGGCCTGCTGTAATAGGACAAGGGTAATGCTTTAACGCTAAAAGAGGATAGATATAGACAAGGTATAATGAAGATATTTTTTACAATGAGGGTGGTGAAACATGGGAACAGGTTGCCCAGAGAAGTGATAGAAGCCCCATCCCTGGAAACATTCAAGGTCAAGTTGGACAGGGCTCTGAGCAAGCTGATCTAGCTGTCACTGCAGGAACCTTCGGAAGTCCCTTCCAACCCTAACTATTCTATGTTTCTATACACGTCAGTAAATGACATGAGAATACATTTAACAGTGATTACAGTTACTTCCCCTTTCCCCTCCACCTGCTGAAGAACGGAAAGGTAGAGTAAAAGAGCCCTGTCCCAAAAAAAATGTGTAAATCCTACCTTGATGCCTTTATTCTACTCAGAAAAAGCGTGAAACGCAATTGTAAAAGATTAACTTTGCATTGCAAAATATTATAAACAAACTGCTATGCTTTTTGCTTGCCTTCATTTTTTAAGGATTGAAAATTTAAAAATAAGCTTGTATGGCTCATGGCACATTTCTCTATGTTTCTTTTTGTCCTTTTGGGATACTTTACATCATGATTAGTCTTAATATCTGACTAATGAAGGAAAATTAAAAAGCTTCTATGTTTCTGGCCTGGTCTGAAATGAATCTGCTTAAATAATCTGAGCATCTCAGGGTCCTGAAAATTGCCTATTCTGTTAAAACTAGTTCTTCTAATAGAAAAACAAATGTTACGTATTTTTAGATACAACTGGATATATGTGAACTACATATACTCCATGAAATGTGTTATCATTTTGATCTTGTCCTTATTTAGTCCTGCTAGTTAGGACTGAATTTTTGGGTTTAATTCTGAAATAATTACAAAAGAAAATATGAGTGTGGTCATGCCATATGAACACAATTAAAACCTTTCAGCATTATATATAAAGCAAGTTTATAGTTAAGAATTTGTTTCCATTACAAGCACTTTTTTACATCTGCTAGTCATTAAATTGCACATAATTGTAATTGGCCGTTAAAGCACAAATTCTTGATAAGAAAAGAAATGCTTTGCAAGGAACATTTTCTTCATGATAAATATTAAAGATGACGTATGCAGCAGATACTGAAGACGAAAGAACTTAAAGTCAGAAAATGCTTTTACTTACTCTGGTAAATTTAGTACACAAATCTTTCCCTCTGCAGTCATCTCACTAGCAGATGTGACATTTCCATTAATTCTAAGTTTATGACTGTGCAATGTCTTCCAATTACAACAGATTCTTTTGAACAGCTAAACAGAAGTAAATTCTTCTATGGCTTCTTATGAGAAGTTTTCCTTTACAGATTTTTATACTGAGTAAAATCCCTGAACAACAATCCTTTAGCTTTACAAAGTATTTCATGCCTGCCCAGAGGGCATTGCTTTCAGATGTCTATTCATGTTAAAGAGACAGGTACATTTAACTGGTTTTTCCTCATGAAAGGGGCTTATTTTTATGAAGAGAAAGTGCCGTGTAATATTGACTGCATCTCCTACTGGTAAGATCAGATATATTTTAACTACAGAGTCCAAAGCTTTTTTGGACTTTTTTTAAATATCACCTTACATATTTACAATTGATTGCCACCATCTATAAAGAAAACATTTTCATAATGCAAGACCAAAACTAAGGACAGCCCATGTCTCAGAGAGCTGACAACATCCCAGCATCACTCTGAGATCCAGGAAAGGGCATGGAGAGAATATTTCACTGGGCTGGATCAGAAAGTCGTTTTGAGCCAAAGACAAAAAGAAAGCTTGTTTATGCCATGAGGGAAGGAAGGTTATTGCTCTCACTTTTCATCTTTGGCAAAAATGCTAAAAGTGAGAAGGCATATGGGTTTTGCACACAACAGTGGTCATGATACTATATTAAAACCAACTGCTTCAAATTTCAAGTTTTTTGACATTTTCTTCATAAATAATGTTACCACATTATTTCTGGGATCTCTGAATTATTTTTCTTCCTCTAGAATCCTCCATGTAACAATAAATCAGCACGGAGAGAAATCACATTATACTAAATCTTCACCTTCAAGAACTCCTTCAGGTCTTTTAATAAGACATACCATACACAAAAGCCATTGTTAATCCCTTCACCCGTACTCAGTGTTGACACAATAACTTAAGAGTTAAAATATTTCTGGATTCTACCCAGAGCAGCAAGTCGAAATACCTTTGCAAGTGATCTTACAATAGGGTTTTCCATAATTCCTTTAAGAAAAATCAGGTCTATTTCTTCAGCGCCTGTCGATGTCGGTAGATCAGTAAGGTTATCCAGGACCTGCTGCATGGCTGCTGACAAAACAAAAACAAAAGTAAGTACTGACCAAAGTAAGCTTGCATAAATAGTAAATTTATGCAAATTTAAATAGCAAATTGCAAAAAGCTCTGGGAAACACCACAGTATTAACTTCAGAGATGTTACACAGCTAATTACATCTACTGAGAGCAAGTGGACAGAATGGAAAAAGAACTTCTGTTGGTTTGTTTGAAAGATGGAAATAAAGGATCTGTGCAAATCCTTATCACCACAATCAACTTAAACCCAGGCCCAGAACACTCCTTTCAAGGTTTGATACTACTTAAAGATTGAAAAATTGAAAAAAACCAAATAAGTATAGACTATGTATAAGGTATGCATAATCTCCTAAGTACAATAAAAGCAACTCATTTGTGACTTCATCAAGTTTTCAGCCCTCATACCAACCGTCTACAAGTTTTACAGTGCTTGTATAGGCAGATGTCACTGTTTCTGAAATGAACGCATAGTTCCAAACCAATTTTTTTTGACTAAAAATTTACTTCCAAGGCAGCTCTTACCTTGGGGACACTTGTGTCCATCCCCAGCACCCCTTTACAGCCAGTTTGGACTTACCGCACTCCAGCACTAAGTGTAGATGGTGCAGATGCTAACACCAACCTGGCACCACAACACATTACAGTGGGAATTATATCCTGCAATGCAAAATATAAGCATGCCTGCCCAGTATCCTCAGTGGAGATTTTCTTGACTCTCTACAGATTCACAGAGAGAACTGCAGCAACTTGGGTGAGAGTGAACAGTGGTGCCGAGAAAGTCAGAAAATCCCACCATCCCAGCTGTGCTGTCCTGTGAAGCCACTGAGGTGAGTGATGGGAATTTATTTTATAATTGTGTGCTTCGACCCTCCCATTTGACACCAAGCTGAACAAAACAGATCTTCTATGTCACACAACAGGTTCCGTATGTTCACATATTACAGAGATCTCGTGCATTTGGGCACGTGTGCAGCAGCCCTTAGCAGGGATTACGTTAGCCAGCCCCGAGCTTGCAGATAGGAAGACATGCCAACGTAGGCTGAGCACCGCTGGTGACAGTTGGGATGTCCTTCGCAATTTCCTGTTTTCCAACCTATGACTAAATATTCTTATCTTCTTGTTATCTTAGGAGTGAATAACCTAAACTGCTCTTGTTTTTAACTGTATCCTTTTAAACTCCTGAAGACTTCTATGTGCATGCTCAGACAGACGGATACACAGGTATACTAACATCTCCTGTTGAGATCCCCAGCAAGCTAAAAAGCATTAGAACAGCCACTGTGTACTGCAGTGCTCCGCACGTTGCACAGCGGCATACATCAAGAGAATCACAGCGCCTATATGCCGCTTCTCCCACGCAGGGATTTACCCTTAACTTTCCTCATGGCTTTATAATGAAAGCTATTGTGAGACACTGCACAGTAACAGAACAAACAGCATTTCTCAACACCTACTTTCTAATTTCAATTCTTCCTAGAAAATTCTACTGCAAGGAAAAAAAAAAAAGTCTGGCCATTCTTTCTATCAAGTGGAACTGACTTTTCAACAATCAAATCATCTTGTGTGCCACATTTTAACCACAGCAGTTATTTTCAAAAACTGCAGTCTTTTGACAATGTTTTAACCATACTTCTCACTTTCAAAAAGTGAATCTTCTGTGAAACCATGAGTAGGAGGGAAAATAACACCTACTTTATGCTTTCAGTTTTTGAAGCAATATTATTTCTACTTCTTAATAGACAAAGTGCTGTTAGCAATTACACATTACATAAAGTCACCAAATCAACCTGTAAATAGTCCACATCTTCCTCAGACTAGGTATGTCCTATATCTTCACTAGTTCAGCTGCAGATGCAGCTGCATTGTTTCACGTTTTCTTAACTCCCAGTTACAGATTCATGACTCCTAAAGCATTCATTAGAGCATCTGCAGAAGTAGACAGATGTGTCTAGCCAATTTACATAGTGTACTAGGTGCTGCGTAAATACTTCAAGTGTTATAATAATAAGCTTTCTTTACATTTTTAACAGTTTTGTAAATTGATTTTAAGGGACTTCAGGTTGTTCTTATAAATAATCTGAGTAAAAATGCACCGCTTCCTTTAGGTCAAAGTACGCATCTCAACTCCCAGTTGCAATTCTAGCAATCGATGCTGACGGTGGCATGCATAATAAAAGCCATTCCTTATATATCTCCATGTTAATAAGCTGTTTCCTATATAACTCTTTCAGAATTCTGCCTATCTTAAATAATCCAATTAGGAAAATAAAATCCTTGCATAAAAACTTCATCATCAAGGAGAAACTGTAATGACTTTCAAGCTTTGTGCAGCTAGACAGTGCATCTTCCAATGAATATTTAATAAAGGTTACACAAATTCTGGTATCAAAAAAGCTTAAGTATATTTAGCATTCGTGGAAAGCAGCAAACGCCTTTATCAACATGCAGAATTCAAAATATTCACAAAGGCACATTTGCATCCCAGGTGACCACAACCAAAACCAGCTTTTTTCCAAAATGACTTCCTATTGCTGTGCATCTGACTGTTGCCTTGTCTCACGGCAAAGCTATCAAGGCAAGAGTCTTCTTAGCTACAAACAGTGCTGCCTCCATATTAGAAAGAAAAAACAACCAACCAAGCCAAAGGTAGGCATATGGAAGTTGGGATAAGGCACCTTTACTCACCCTGGACTGTTTATGTTTGAACCCAGTGTGGGGTCTCTATATTGCCACAACACTCAGCATAGCTAGTTTCCCATCTTAAAGGGAAGATCTTTCTAAGTAGTTGGATTAAAAAATAATACTGTTAAGTACCCCTTTATTTTAACCAGATACAAGATTAAGTAAAAAAATTTTTGCACGTAAGAAAGCTTTAAGAAGCTTCAACAAAGTCTTTGTACCTGTTACCAAGTACATAACTAGAAACTACAGCAGTGTTGATACGCTTCACTGTGTTTGTACGTTTCACAATCTTTCACTGCTTTACATTCACCTGGCACAAAAATTCAGAATATAACCAACTGTTATTTTTCAAAAAGTCATCAGGAGCATCTTCCAACCAGAATTATGTCAGCTGGTGTATTGAAAAAGAATAGACAACAATACACGGGTACTTTTTGTGACAGACTAGACTAAGCACTTCGTGTTTTATGCTTGGTATGCAAGTCAGGGAGGGGCCAGACTCAAACTTAGCTCCAGTTTAATGTGAAATGCTAATATTTCACATGTGAAAATAGCTTTAAAAGTCTAAGCAACATATTGACCTACATATGCCTTAGATATCCGTATGTGTACTTTCAAACAATTTGATTTATCCAAAGGCAATTTAAGGGGGGAAAGAAAGGGATGACACTTTGGTAAATGTATTACAGACCCTCTTTTTATGCATCTATTCAACAGGCTTTTGTTTATTCATTTTCTAGGGGGGGGGGAAACCCTGCCTTATTAAAATACAAACAGCAGGAGATATGTTGTTTCCAGGCTTAATGATAATGATCTTTCAGAATAATGTAGATACACATGGAATTTTAAATAGCAGTCTTCAAAAAAATTTCATTTTTTTCTTTCCTAGGCAAAGCCACCTTAGGTTTTTTAGAAAAGTATCTTGTCTTTGAACCCTGACTCTATTTGAATCAAAATCAGTAATTCAGTAATTAGATCAAATTACTGAATTACAAAATCATTTAGGTTGGAAAGAATCTTTAAGATCGTCAAGTCCAACCGTTAACTCAGCGCTGCCAAGTCCACCACTAAACCATGTCCCTAAGTACCACATCTACACACCTTTTAAACACCGCCAGGGATGGTCACTCCACCACCTCCTTGGGCAGCCCGTTCCAATGCCTGACAGTCCTTTTGGTGAAGAAATTTTTCCTAATATCCTAATTTCAGGATATTTTCCTAATATCCTAAACCTCCTTTGGAGCAACTTGGGGCTGTTTCCTCTTGTCCTATCACTTGTCACTTGGGAGAAGAGGCCATCACCCACTTCTCTGCAACCTCCTTTTCAGGTAGCTGTAGAGAGTGATCAGGCCTCCCCTGAGCCTCCTCTTCTCCAGAACTTGTGCTCCAGACACTCCCCCAGCTCCGTTGCCCTTCTCTGGACAGGCTCCAGCACTTCAGTGTCTTTCACGTAGTGAGGGGCCCCAAACTGAACACAGGATTTGGGGTGCAGCCTCACCAGTGCTCAGTACAGGGGGATGATCACTTCCCTAGTCCTGCTGGCTACGCTATTTCTGATAGAAGTCTGGTTGTTATTGGCCACCATGGCCCCACTGCCAGCTCATATTCAGCTGCTGTCGCCCAACACACCCAGGTCCTTTTCCGCCAGGCAGCTTTCCAGCCACTTGTCCCCAAGGCTGTAGTGTTGCATGAGGTTGTTGTGACCCAAGTGCAGGAGCCAGCACTGGGCATTGCTGAACCTCATAGAGTTGGTCTCTGCCCATGTCACCTTGTCACAGAGAGAGAACAGGTTAGTCAAGCAGGAGCTGCCTTTCTATGCTGACTGGGCCCGATCACCTGGCTGTCCTGTACATGCCAAATGAGCTGCTCCATAACCTTCCCTGGCACCAAGGTCAGACTGACAGGCCTGTAGTTCCCCAGATCCTCCTTCCGGCCCTTCTTTTAAATGGGTGTCACATTTGCTAACCTCCAGTCTACTGGGTCTTCCCCAATTAGCCAGGGCTGCTGATAGAAGATGGAAAGTGGCTTGGTGAGCACTGCCAGCTGCCTCAGTACCCTTGGGTGGATCCCACCCAGCCCCATAGGTACGTGTGTGTCTAAATGCTGTAGCAGGTCACCAACCATTCCCCCTTGGACTATGGGGGCTTCATTCCGCTCCCCGCCCCTGTCTTCCAGCTCAGGGGGCTGTGCACCCCAAGAACAACTGACCTGACTATTAAAGACTGAGACAAAGAAGGCATTAAGTACCACAGTGTTTTCCTCAACCTTTGCCTCTATGTTTCCCCTTGCATCCAGTAAAGGATGGAGATT